CCTGCATTATTGCCCATTTGGGCACCCTGCTTGTAGATGAATGGGAGAGCAAGAAAGTACCCACAAATCCTGTCCTTCCTGTCCATCACAGCATTTTCCATGGCGAGTTGAACAGAAATTTAACAGATTAACAGAGTTGGATGGGACCTTGTAGGTCATCTAGTCCAACCCCCTACCCAAGCAGGAGACCCTACAGCATTCCTGACAGATGGCAGTCCAGTCTCTTCTTGAAAGCTTGTTGAAGGTCTCAAATGGAGAACTTACTCCATGCATCCAGCCTGATCTCATGCTTCAGAATCCTATAATATACAACATTCCAGAGAAGGGAGTACCTTAATGCATTGGATAGCATTCCTCTCTGCAGCTATGGATGGAAAACAGAGCTCAGGACAGAAGTGGGTTTCAGCAGGTTCTGACCAGTTCTGGAGAACCAGTAGTGGAAATTTTGAGTAGTTCGGAGAACCGCTAAATACCACCTCTGACTGGCCCCGCCCCCATCTATTCTCTGCCTCCCGAATCCCAGTTGATCGAGAGGAAATGGGGATTTTACAGTATCCTTTCCCTGCCATGCCCACCAAGCCACGCCCATAAAACCGTTAGTAAAAAAAATTGAATCCCACCACTGATAATCATAATAAAGGTGATGGAGACAGGTAGCTCAGCTCATGTCCCCCAATCTGTACAGGTAATCCTCGACTTACGACCACAATTGAGCCTGAAATTTCTGTTGCTACATAAGACATTTTTAAAGTGAATTTTACTCCATTTTAAGACCTTTCTTGCCACAGTTGCTAATTGAATCACTGCCGTTGTTAAGTTAGCAAATACGGTTCTTAAGTGAATCTGGCTTCCCCATTGACTTTGTTTGTGAGACGGTTGCAAATGGGGATCACATGATCCCGGGACATTGCAATTGTCATAAATAGTAATCAGTTGCCAAGCATCTGAATTTTGATCTTGTGACCATTGTAGGGGATGTTCGGTCCGGTTCGGCCGAGCCGGTAGCGGTGACGATATGACGTCACCGAACCGGTTCTCCCCCCCGCCCTCCCACCCCCCACCCCCCCACTTTATTCTTACCTTTTATTTGGTCCCACCCCCAATCTATTGCTGCCTCCTGAGTCCCAGCTGATGACTAAAGGGGAAAAAAACTGTTTAAACTCTTGCCGCGGGGCTTCAAAGGGCCGTCCTACAGCTGATCAGTGTTAAAAGCAAACAAATGAGTCGGGTCATAAGTGCGAGGACTGGTCGTAAGTGTGAGGACCTTCCAGAAATGACTCTGACCAGCTAGCCACGCCCACCTAGTCACATGACCTCCAAGTCACACCCACAAAATAAGCCACGCCCACAGAACCGGTAGTAAAAAAATTTAGAACCCACCCCTGATGCGCATGTGCCGGCCACCTGTTTTTTGGCTGGGCACACCCACCCCGCCCCTCCCCTCCCAGGAGTCTCCACATGGTCTGTTTTGGATGCCAGGTAAGTACAGGGCTCACATGGAGGCTCTGGGAGGGCGAAAAATGGGCCTTCCGGAAGTCTGGAAATGGGCTGGGTTCACCCTCCCCAGGCTCCAGAAAAGCCTCCAGAGCCTGGGGAGGGTGAAAAAACAGGCCTATAGGGCCTACCGGAAGTCCGTAAATGGGCTGTTTCTGGCTTCCGGAGGGTTCAGGGAGGCCTGCTAGGCCCAAAAAGGGGCACGGGGGGGGGCGAGCATGTGCAGAGGGAGAGGCATCGCAGGGTGGGGCGCGTGGGGAGCATTGCATTATGGGTGTGGACACGCATGCGCACACAACCCCCCCGCACTCCCCCCGCTTTTGCCACGTGATGGCAAAAAGGTTTCAGAGAACATTTCAGAGAAATGGTTATTTGGATCTTCTTCCTTTGTTCTTAGGTCCAACAAGCCTTCCCAGTCTTGAGCCCTCCTGATATCTCAGAAGGACATCACTTGGAATCCCCCATATTCCCACATTTTCTCTGGGAATCTGGAGTCTTTCCGGACCGAGTGCCCAAAGCACTCACGAGTGCTCAAAGTGTGCTTTGGGGATTCGGGCGTGCACCGGAACCCCCCCAAATTCAATGTGCATGTGCACCCCTCGCATGCGCTCCGCCCCATGCATGCACGCACACCCTCCCCGCATGCACCCCACCCCCACACATGTGCACGCATGCCACATGCGCCCCGCCTGAAACCCCAAAATGCAATGTGCATGCAGCCCCATGCATGCGCCCCACCCTGCGCATGCACACATATCCCCTGCATGCCCCCCACCCCCAATGCGCCCCACCCCTCACTCATGCACACGCAGTCCCACGCATGCATCCCACCCCCACGCATGCGCAGCAGAGATCCGACGACCAGCTGGGCAGCAGGAGGCACACACAAATGTACGGCAAAGCTGAACTGGGGCGACAGCTCACATGCCCACAGAGAGGGCGCTACGTGCCACCTGTGGCACGCGTGCCATAGGTTCGCCATAACCGCCCTATACCAGTGATGTCTAACCTTTTTGCCATCGCACGCCAAAAGTGGGGGGAGCACGGAGGGTCGTGCGCGTGCGTGCCCACACCCATAATTCTATGTACCCCACCCCTCACGCATGCATGCATGAACCCCCCGCGCTCCCCCCACTTATGGCACGGTGGGCCCAGTAGGCCCATTTTCTACCCTCCCCAGGTTCTAGAGCCTCTCTAGGAGACTCTGGAGGGCAAAAACAGCCTTCCCCACCACCACCCCCAGAAGCTTTCTGGAGGCCGAAAACAGCCTGTTTCTTTGCTTCTGGTGGGCCCAGAAGGCCCCAAAATCAGCTGGCCTGTGCATGCATGCGCGCCAGAACTGAGCTCACGTGCCCACCGATATGGCTCCGTGTGCCACCTGTGGCACGCGTGCCATAGGTTCGCCATCATGGCCCTATACCATTTCAGACAAATGGTTATCCGATCTTGAGTCTGTCTCCTGATCTAGCTAGGTTTCCTCAAAAGGGTTGACATCACTGTTGAAATCCAAATTTTTTTACTACCGGTTCTGTGGGCATGGCTTGGTGTGCGTATTGTGGCTTGGTGGCGTGGCTTGATGGGCGTGGCAGAGGAAGGATACTGCAAAATCTCCATTCCCACCCCACTCCAGGGGAAGGACACTGCAAAATCCCCATTCCCACCCCACTCCAGGGGGAAGGATATTGCAAAATCTCCATTCCCACCCCACTTCTGGGGCCAGCCAGAGATGGTATTTACCGGTTCTCCGAACTGCTCAAAATTTCCGCTACCGGCTCTCCAGAACTTGTCAGAACCTGCTGGATTTCACCCCTGGCTGACGTGAACCTGGAAGATATTAGAAGATGATCACTCTCCCCATTTAATTTAATCTCCTCAGAGTTGTCCATTTAGGCCTCATATGTCTTGTACCAAAGGTGCTTTTCGAAACGGCAATTGGACTTTCTTGGATTTTTTTCTTTGAAAATGTTTCCCTTCTCATCCAAGAAGCTTCTTCAGTTCGGTTAAGAAGCAAAACATTTTCAAAGAAAAAAATCTAACAAAAGTCCAGTTGCCTTTTCGAAAAGCACCTTTGAGAAAACCATGGCATGGATGGTTAAAGATCTCCATAGATATTTGTATGCCTTCCTTATCATGAATATTTAGCAAATCCTGGGCAGATATGGATATATGACTATAGGGTTTCCTGCCTGAAAAGGGGGTTGGACTAGAAGACCTCCAAGGTCCATTCCAACTCTTGTTATTCTATTCTGTTCTGAATTGCAGCTTGAAAGGAGAAACTTTCCTGCATCTGCACTTCCTCTGATGATGGGCCTTATAAATAAATTACCTTGGAGCAGGGCTGAAATCTACTTATCTTCCTTACTGGTTTGGAAACACATGCTTCTGAAAGGAAGGAAGGAAGGAAGGAAGGAAGGAAGGAAGGAAGGAAGGAAGGAAGGAAGGAAGGAAGAAAGAGAGAGAGAGAGAGAGAGAGAGAAAGAAAAAGGGAGAGGGAGAGGGAGAGGGAGGGAGGGAGGGAAGGAAGGAAGGAAGGAAGGAAGGAAGGAAGGAAGGAAGGAAGGAAGGAAGGAAGGAAGGGGTATAGGTATTATTCTTTACTGAAGCATTTGAGAATCACCACTTGGCTGTATAGTGGACTATATGGACCAATGATTGATAGTTGCTTATCTTTCTATTTTTCCTCCAGATTGTAGCTTTCCCTCAGAGCAAAGCTAAAGCTTGGGAAGATATAATCAGACAATTCCCTATGACGTCTGGGGTTTTTTAATTGATGAGCAAGACATGCCTAATTATTTGAACTTTGGGAAGAGACAGTGAGTAGTTGGAGTGTAGGGCAGAGAAGGAGGTGGAAAAATTCAACTGCTTGTAATGAAAGGCACAGATGATTCAGCCAAGGAGACATGTGAGAAGTTGATGTAAACCTGCATGTAGGATTCTCTTTCATTAAAAAGGAGTTTTATGTATACATCTCTATCCACTTTCACACACATACTTACTTACACCATCGTCATGAGTTGCGATGATGACCCTTAACTCTGAGACACATCACAAAAAATAAAACTGCAGAATAAATTTAGGATAAGATCTTTTGTTTGTTTGTTTATGGAGCTAAAAGAGAATATTTTAGAGCTTTGTAGAGCTCTGATGTGCTGGACAGGAAAAAAAAAAGAATTATTTCTGTCAGATTGCAGGGAGTCGACCTTACGACCACAACTGAGCCTAAAATTTCTGTTGCTTAAGTGAGACATTTGTTAAGTGAATTTTTCCCTATTTTACCACCTTCCCTGCCACAGTTGTTAAGTGAAACACTGCAGTTCCTTTACCGTTATGCTGTTCACCAGACTCCTACATCTAAGCCGAAATAGATCAGTTTTCACTGCGAACGGAATCTGACATTTCTTTTACAGTTACTGTTTTCCCTCTTCCCGGCTTGGCCTCGGTCTTCAAATTCCCTACGCATGAAGTCAAAGCCAATATTATCTAACGGTTGGGAGCCAAGAAGGATATGTCTCACAGCTGAACGAGAAAAAGGGAAGCTGAGTACATGTTAAGGAAATGCCCAGGCTGCTTGCATACTTAGAGGTAAAAAAATAACAACACAACATTTGCATTTTAGCCAGGCCAGTTGCCAATTTATACAAACATCACAGGCTTCCCCCTGTTCAGATTATAACTAGAAACAGGACATCTGGGATGATTTGACTGGGAAAGCGACCTCATCGTTTTACAAGTAGTCCTCGACCTACGACCAAAATTTATGGTGCTAAGCAAGACATCTGGGATGATTTGACTGGGAAAGCGACCTCATCGTTTTACAAGTAGTCCTCGACCTACGACCAAAATTTATGGTGCTAAGCAAGACGGTTGTTAAGTAAGTTTATGCCCCGCTTTACAATCTTTCTTGCCACGTGAATCACTGCCGTTGTTATGTTAGTGACACGTTTGTAAAGTGAATCTGGCTTCCCTCTTGACACTGCTTGTCAGAAGGTCGCAAAGGGGATCACATTGTTGGAAGAAAAATCCAGTCCTGGTTCCAAGCCAGGAGGAGGGGGAAAAAAACCACTGGAAATAAAATGGAGGTTGGCTACAAGGAAATAAGATCTCTGTTTATTTGGTTTCCCAGAAACTTCAGTGACAGCAGCAAAGTTTCCAGGGTGGGTGACCAATTGGCTGGGTGAATGGATGGATTTTTATAGGGCTCTGGGGTTTGATAATTGAGATGCTCCAGGGAGTTGTGCAGTCTAGTGAGCCATGTGTCTTTTACTATTCTAATGGTGGTGGGCAAGGGTGAAATCCAGCAGGTTCTGACAGGTTCTGGAGAACCAGTAGCAGAAATTTTGAGCACTTCAGAGAACCAGTAGCGGAAATTTTGAGTAATTTGGAGAACCGGCAAATACCATTTCTGGCTGGCTCCAGAGTGGGGTGGGAATGGAGATTTTGCAATATCCTTCCCCAGGAGTGGGGAAGGAATGGGGATTTTACAGTATCCTTCCCCTGGAGTGGGGTGGGAATGGAAATTTTGCAGTATCCTTCCCCTGCCACGCCCACCAAGACACGCCCACCAAGACACACCACACCCACCAAGACACGCCCACAGAACCTGTAGGGGGGAAAAAATGGATTTCACCACTGGTGGTGGGTTAATCCTATTATGTCCTAAAGGTCACGTCCTGTCCTTAGAATTTGGGTGGGGGAATGTAAATTCTTAATCCCATCAGCTCCAGCCATCTGTGGGAGCTGTGGCTGAAGGCATTTTGTTTATGAATAGGATAGCCTGGCTTTCTTAACAGGTACAAAATATCCATCTCTAAAGACTTGAGACCTATGGGAGGTTTCACATAGGGGCTGCTTTCTGCCTTTGTTAAGATTTTTCTCCATTTCTCCTTTGGGGAAATATAATATTCTGCCTCTTTTAATATTCCCCAGAATACTTTGTTCTCTTGGGGGGGGACTTCCCACAATATGACCCTGGGACACTGCAACCATCATAAATAGGAAGCGTCCAAATTTTATACACGTATAACTGTGGGGTTGCTGCAACGGTTTAAGTGAGAAAAGTGGTCCTAGGTCACTTTCTTCAGTGCTGTTGTGTTGTGGCCCGTCAGCGGCCTGTGCAGCTGGCAGCTGATTCCGACAGCGAGGAGGCTGGTCTGGTGCTGCGCTAGCAGCCTGTGCAGCTGGCACTCGAGTCGGACAATGAGGAGGCTGGAGAAGATGTGGTGCCAGAGGCGGGGATTCAGCCAGGGCCTTCAGAACCTCCAGGAGCTCCCATAAGTGAAGAGGAAGAAGAGGAGGAGCCTCTTCTCGATGCACGGGCGCGCAGAGCTGCCAAAGGGCAGGAGTGGCTCCTCAGGAGGAGGTCTCCTCAAGAGTAAGGCTTGGGGCTAATTGGCCACTCCCTTAGCCTATTTAAGGAGGAACGCCGACTGAAGCAATTTGCAGGGAACAACTTCGTTCACTCTCTTTCGCGTCCTGATCTTAGTTCTCTTATCAGGTTCCTGCAAATTGCTTCTGGGCTTTCTGCCAACCATAGTAAGATTACGATTATTTATTCGTTGGATTCTTGTAGGCTGTTAAGAAAGTTAATTAACAGCCTTTGTTTGAAAAAGACTGATTTAATTTAATAAACTAAGGTTTGTACAAGACTTTGTGTGTGCTGCGTTCTTTGGGGTCCGTAGTTGGGGCAGAACATGTTGTATCTCGAATGGTCGCTAAATGAAAAGTTGTAAGTTGAGGACTACCTGCAATGGGGCTTTCTCTGCAAGGCCATGGCACACTCAGCTGGCTTTAGAACAAATACACTGGGATAGAAGCTAATTTCAATGTGGCTCAAAACTCCCTTTGATTAGGAAGAAGCAGTTTGCGGGCACCAGTAACCAATTTAGAAGCCTTATAACCTCACATAAGAGGCAAGTTTGAATATTCATTCAATTCAATTCACCTGTCCCTGAGTAAGGAGCCCAAGTCTTCCATCTACCGCAGGGGTGTCAAACTCACATCGTTAAGGCAGAGGCGTATGTGACGTATTGGGACTTTTCCCCCCTTTCGCTAAATCGGGCAGGGGCAGGACGTGACGCATCTGGCCCGCAGGCTGTTTGTTTGACACCTCTGATCTACCTCTTAACCTGGTGAGAAAGGAACTAAGGAGAGAGCAGAGCAAGGAACCTCTTAGCAAATAGAGCCGAGGTGGCGCAGTGGTTAGAGTGCAGTACTGCACTACTTCAGCAGACTGCTAGTTCAGCAGATCAGCGGATCAAATCTCACCGGCTCAAGGTTGACTCAGCCTTCCATCCTTCCGAGGTGGGTAAAATGAGGATTCAGATTGTTGGGGGCAATATGCTATTTAGTATACTGTCTTTGGTGTAAGCCGCCCAGAGTCCTCAGATGGCATAGAAATATGACTAATAAAATAAATAAATAAATAAAATAAATGGCAACATCTGCCACTTCATGTCTGGGCTTGAAAGCTGAGTGAGATTGGTTATAATATACAGTATGTAGGAGAGCACCAGAAAATCTCAGAGCTTTAGGCTAGACTGGGAAAACACCCTGAACACTCCCTAGAAAATTGGAATGGCAACCATTCTCTATACTGCTGCCAAAATATTTGCATCCATGTGCTCATGACATTACAGGTGGTTGGCTTGACTGCAAAGCGTCTATCTTACAGTAAATATATCTCATTTCTTTCTTCAGGACTACCGTTCCCCTGGCCACAAATTTTGGGACTGAACAAAAATATTTAAAACCAACATGAAGCCTTTACAACATGTTCAGCTCTAGCTTAACAATGAGGATTTAGTTTAGACTAAATGGTGGGTTGCTGAGGCTAACTAGTGTAGGATATTTTTGCCTCTGGGTTTGCTTAGTCCACATTTCTTGTTATATTTCCTCCTGTCATCTTCAGGGCATCTTATGTTGGCAAGAAAACTCTGGTTTCTTTTTAGAAATACTGTCCATTTTCTTTGGTAATTTGCTACTCACAAAAAGTTCAACTGCTGCTTGAAATATCATCATCATCTTTCTATGCAGGATGAAGACCTCTTCCGCATGTATCCAACTAATACGGTGCTGAGCTTTCTTTTGCCAATTGGGCCTGCAATACTTACTGATATCATCGATCCGTCTTGTTTTAGGTCTCTTTCGTGGACGCTTTTTATGAAAAACAAGCTTTTTTATGAAAATAGCAAAGGACCGGCCCGTGGTGCCTCTGCTACCAAAAATGAGGTACGAGAGGCCGTGTGTGGCCCCTCTGTGCCACATTCTGGGCCTGGACCAGGGGTAGGGTCTACTTACCTTTATTACAGGTTCTAACGGGGCCGCGGGCACGCTCTTCTGCGCATGCACAGAAGCATTCTGATGACGTCGGGGTCGGTGGGCGGAGCCTCCCGCTGGTTTTACTACCGGTTCTATTGAACTGGTGCGAACCGGGGGCAGGCAACCCACCACTGGCCTGGACGGTCTCCTGCAGCACTCTGGCAGCCAAAACGGGGTGGTTGGGGGCACGCGCAGGGACTCCCACACCCTGTTTTGGCTGCCAGAGTGCTGCAGGAGGCCATCCTTGACTCAGAAGGTTATAAAAGGGAGGAAAGATAAAATATTTCACCTTTCAGGCTTGCAGGATTCTGCCACTATAGCCTCTGTCAATAATTTATAGTTCTAGTCTTCCTCCGGAGTCAGTTTCTTGATCTGGTCTCTCTCTCTCATAGGGTGACCAAGTAGATCAAGTATGTATTTAAAAAAAACAAAATCACAGAAATGTATGCCTCTCTATTTTTATAAGTATATAAAACCATGTGTGCGGAGGTGTGGTCCCGTGTCACGCCCACCATGGCCACGCCCATCATGGCCATACCCCCCACCCCAGCCATGCCTCCCCACCCCCACCCCAGCCCTCTGAGGTCAAACACAAACCTGATGCAGCCCTCAATGAGATCTAGTTTGACACCCCTGGGCAGGGGTGAGATGCTGGGGGTTCGCAGGGGTTCGGGAGAACCTCTAAGCTAAGATTTTGTGCAGTTCAGAGAACCCCCAAACCCTACTCCTGGCTGGCCCCTCCCACCCTGTCCCGCTTCTCCCAGGAGTCCTACGCGGACTATTTTGGATGCAGGTAAGTGCAGGAGGCACGCGGAGGTTTGAGGAGGGTGAAAAACGGGCCTATCGGAAGTTTGAGAAGCCAGAAATGGGCCTGTTTCCAGCCTCCAGAGGGCCTCTGGAGCTTGGGGAGGCCGTTTTCGTCATCCCGGAGGCTCAAGGAAAGCCTCCAGAGCCTGGGGAGGGCAAAAATGCCACCCCCCACCGTGGTGCAGGAGGCCGACTAGGCCATAACCACCATGGCCACACCCACCCAGAAACCAGGTAGAGAACCCCTTGCTAAAAATTTTGAAGCCCACCCCTGGGGTAGAGGGATGGGGGGGGGAAGGAAGGAAGGATAATTCTGAAAGTTAAGGATGACCACATCTGGATACAAAACTCTAGACAGCCAGTCGATGGTAATTATTTTCTATCATTCTTTACTCTAACATGATGGTCTTATAATGTCACTGAAAAGGAGAAATCCTATTACCTGTTCAATTTAATTT